CAGTGCTGGCTTCTTCCCATTCTGCACATTCTACCCCTACTCTAGGAAATCTATATTGATCCACTACCCTTCATGATTTCAGATTCTAGTGCCTCACATTAAGAAGCTCTCATATTACTTATCACTTTTCACTTTTATTGTAATGATGTACATTATGTCTTTTATTAAGTTGTAATCATGAACTTTTTAATTCATCTCTCAGTAGTATCCAAATGCAGAATATTATGCACTGACTTAATTGGAATTCTACATATTTTTACTAAATCAGTGAAATATTTATGATACATAAAAGAAGACACTCAATGGACCCAGGTATTTATTATGTTAACAACACATGGGTTCACATTGTAATCTTTGCACTATACTCTTTTTTAAACTTTTTTATTTTATTGATTTTTTACAGAGAGGAAGGGAGAGGGATAGAGAATTAGAAACATCAGCTGCCTCCTGCACACCCCGTACTGGGGATGTGCCTGCAACTAAGGTACATGCCCTTGATACATGTCCTTGTCCGAAATTGAACCTGGGACCCTTCAGTTGGCAGGCTGACACTTTACCCACTGAGCCAACCGGTTAGGGCTGCACTATACTCTTATTTGTGCATTTTCTGCATGCATGGCATACTTCAATATACGGCTCTTTTTAAAAGCTGAACATGAATTTTTTTTTTTTCTCATTAAGGTGAATTTCTCAACTTACTGTTGTACTTGATGACTGCAGTTTGCACTTGTGAAGCTAACAATCATCTGTAGTTTCTCAGTTGCATAGTTCACAAACTGCTGTTTAAAAGCTCTCTCCTTGGCTCGGGTGGTCCAGGCCAGCCTTTCATAAAGATATAAAGCTCCATACATACTTAATGAGACAGATATGAGTTTCCAGCCTAGAGCTTTCCAAATCTGTAAGATAAATTTACAGCTTACTTTGACAAAGAAAAACACTGCTGGGGAGATTGTACTCAAAGGAGATTGTACTATAGGTCTTATGAGTCAGATCCACTTTTAAGAAATTTATATTCATTCTCTAAGAGAATCTAAAGTTATCAGAAATCAAACAAGCTGAAAAAGGAGTTAGCACATAAACATCAGGCAAGAAGTTTGATAACCTGCTAGACATTTGGTGAGATGATTCAATATATCTTGAAAAAGGAGGTTATTTCTTTTAGGTTAGAGGTTTCAAAAACCAAAACATGTAAATTGATGCTGTTAATGATATGAAAAAAAATTTTTTTTAACATGTAAGAACTACTACTAAGAAGTAATCGTTAATACTTTAAGGCAGATCCCTTTGGTATTTAGATAAGATTAGATATGGGACCTGGATCATTCTTGTTACTCCATGGACAAATACCACTTCTTTGTGTACTGTGATGGAAAAATAGTTGGAAAGCATTGTTCATTGTTCAAGGACCAACTAGTTGGTGGCATTTCTTTCCTAAAGATGCATTTTAAAAAAATGTATATTGTGGTAATATTTTCACTGTACATACATTTATCAAATCATTATGCTATACACCTAACACTAACACAATGTAAGTGTCAATTATATTTCAATTAAAAAATTTAAGAAGAGGCTTGTGAAACTCTTCTTAATTCACTAACTTTAACCTACACCTTTTGATGTCATTTTATACATCCTGAAAACAGAAATATACCTTTCTCTTTGTGATATAGCAGAAAGCTTTGTAAAATTTCAATTTTCATTATAATAAAAAGTATTTCTTACCACTCCTCCAACAACAATGATGCCCATAGACGTTCTGGATGTCAGAGAAGCTAATGCTGTTATTAAGGTAACCATGATTTCCTCCTGTGATGCATTATCTGGTGTTGCTGGATTGGTGGGAGTAGAAGCTAAAGATCTGGGGAGCTAAAAACATTGGGTGAAAGGATTACAATTAAACAACTATAAATGGAATGAAGTTTACTATATTATATTGCATTTCTTTTAAAATTATAGTAAATCAGTGAAAAAAACAACTTTAATGAGTTTACCGTAAATACATGAAGAAAATAAGTGATCTGAAACTTATTTCGATGACATAATTTTCTATGACTTAGATACTGTAAAGAATAATGAATTTCATAATATACAATGAGTTTACCTATAACAGTAGACCCTCAAATTAAAGCCCTGGGCAGTTTGCTGCAGTGGATAGAGTGTCGGCCTGCGGACTGAAGGTTTCCGGGTTCAATCCGGTCAAGGCACAAACCTCAGTTGCAGGGTTCGATTCCAGTTGGGGTAGATATAGGAGGCAGCCAATCGATGTCTCTCTCACATCAATGCTTCTATCTCTGTTTCCACGCCCCCCTCCCCGCCCCCACTGTCTCTAAAAATCAATGGAAAAATATCCTCGGTGAGGATTATAAAAGAAAATAAAAATAATCACAAGAGCCCTGGCCAAGTGGCTCAGCTGGTTGGCGCATTGTCCTATACACCAAAAGACTGCGGGTTTGATCCCTGGTCTGGGTGCTTACAGGAGGCAACAAATCACATTGATGTTCTCTTTTCCCCCATCCCCAACCCCTTACTCTCTTCCATTGAATAAACCTTATGTTTCCTCACCTGAGGAAATAAATATACCTCAGGTGAGGATTAAGAAAATTAAAAAAAAAAAAAACATTATAAGAAAGTTCAAAGATAAGCTACAGATTAGAAGAGCAGATTTAGAAACCATATATCTGATAAAGGACCTGTATCTAGAATAAATAAAGAACTCCTAGAAGTCAATTAGAAGCCAAATAACCTGATTAAAAATTAGGCAAGTGATTTGAATAGATATTTTATAAAGCAAGATACTTGAATGGCTAAAAGCACATGAAAAGATGTTCAAAATCAATATAATCAAAACTATAATGAGATAGCACTTTACATACACTAGGAATAAAAAAGACAGATAATAACAAGTCTGGATGAGAATGTTGAGAAACAGAACCTTAACATGTTGTTGGTGGGAATGTAAAATGCAGCCACTTTGGAAAACATTTTGGCAGTTCTTCAGAAAGTTAAACATATTTGCCTTCAGTATAGCAATTTCACTACTACGTATACACTCAAGAGAAGTGAAAACCGATGTCTACGTAAAGAAAGAACAAGAGTGCCCTGGCCAGTGGGATTTGAGCATTGACCTGCTTACTGAAGGGTCGAGGGTTTGATTCCCAGTCAAGGACAAGTATCTGGTTGCAGGTTTGATCCCTGGCCTGGGTTGGGGCAAGTGTGGGAGGCAACCAATCTCTCCCCCCGCCCCCCCCTCTCTCCCCCCGCAATCCTTCCCTAACTCCTTTCTACTCTTTCTAAAAATCAATGGAAGAAATATCCTCAGATAAGGATTAACTAAAATAAAAACCTCCACAAAAACAAAACACAAAATAAAAGGAGAATCTCAACTGGTAGAATCATAGCCACATACCTGTGTAGCAGTACAGCAATAAACACCTGATAAAAAGACTACTCCAAACAATAAAAACAAAACAAAAAAATCTGTACCTGAAAGACAGGCTCAGATAATCCTAGAAGCACCCTCTGTGCATTGGTAGGACCCAAGAAACGATGGACAAGAGAAGACCAGCCCAAGGAAAAACGAAATACAATATCCTCTTGAAAGTCTGAACATAACATGTGGCAATTTAGGTCATAGCTGAGATCAAATTTCTTGCAAGGAACCAGTGTATGTAGTTTATTCTGTATATCAGAAGGAAGTAACGGTTTCAAATTTTCTAGAAAGAAAAGTAGGACAATTATTTTAAAAAACGATAGTAAATAATGTTTTACATTTTGTAAAATATTTAAAGGAAAATAAATCCTTCACCAACAAAATAAAGAACTTGTAGACATAAAGATTACCAATAATTTCTTGCTGGGATTGAAGCATTGAAGCGTTGACTTCACTGGTGCACCGATCAGCCAAATTTCTCCCCATACCATCTTCTATGTGCTTATTTAACTCCTGTTAAAAACAGTAAGTGTCCACATTATTTTTTCTCTAGAATATAAGCAGTTTTATAAAAACATTAGATATTTACTAAGTGCTAAAATGATCTCATTCTAAGAGGATAACTTTTCTGTATACTTTATATACTACACAAGGTAGTTTACATTTATTACAAGAGTTCACAGGAGATGTTAACAGTCAATTGAGTACTGACTGCCATAAAGACACCAAAATAGACAAACCATTACATAAGAGTATAGAATACGGTGAGGGAACTATATGTATAGCTTTAACTACAATTTAACTTACACTTTTATATACTTTCAATACACTTGGAGTAGGATGAAACTCAGAACAAAATTCATCAACCAAAACAGAAAGTCGACAAATTTCATCTGTCATTGCACATGAAACCTGAAAATATGGGAAAAAAATCAGAGTAAAAAAATTAAACAAGATCATTAACCATTCAAAAAACCAAACTGAATAAACCCCCACAAAATATTCCTTTAAGGCAAAAGGGATAACCTTTTTAGCATTATCAAAAATATTTCCATTCCCAGTTTAGTCATAAAATTACTTTAACCCACCTTGTTTGCCACCTCCTCTGTAACCTCCCTGATTTTCTTCTTAACATCCAGTGTCAACAGGTTCATCTGATTTCGGATAAAGTCCAGTCTATCAATGTGGTCTTCCCTTTCTTCCATTGAATAAACCCTATTATGGTATGAAGAGTAATTAATAATCAGGATATTAAAGTCTCAAAGCAATTAAGCAAGGGCACTCAATTATGTAATGAACCATCTGTTAGCATGATAAAAGAAGAAAAATCTCATATTCCAACACTGAAAAGGATTCAAACTATATTTCACTTATACAATATTTTAGAGGTGATTGTATATAAATTATTTTGTTTCTCTGCCTATGTGTCACCTGAGTCCCACCAAAGGATTAGTAAGAATTCTAAGTCTGCAAACACTTCATATATATATGAACAGAACTCAATACTGACTTTCTATAACAAATAAGGGCCAGCTAATGGCATCCTGTAAGCCAAATCCAGCAGTTTTCTTGGAATATAGTTATGCTTATTCATGTACCTACTACCTAAATACCTGCTTTTGCTCTAAAACTGTAGAATTGAGTAGTTGCAAGAGATGGTATGGCCCACAAAGCCTAGAATATTTTTTCTCTGGCCTCCATAGAAAACTTGCCAACCTGTAGATGATGCAGGGAAAAAAGACCTGAGATCTTTTTAAGATCATCTTTAACAAGAGTTTCTGAGGCATTATGATTATACAAACCATCCTCAATCACATATTCTTCGTGCCACGTTTGTTCAATGTCCTATATTTTTAAAAAATTAGTAAGGTCAATCCAGCGGACTGACTACTTTGGCAACTATAATAAAGCTACTGAGCTGAAAGGGACATAAAGGGCAATATAATCTCATTATACAGAAAAGTGCACAGAGCCTGAGATAAGATTCTGGGGTCCTCACCCCTTTGTTGTATACGTTGGAAATTCTCTAATTTTTTAGATAATACATTCCTGCAAATGTGTCAAAATTACACAATAGATTTAGACATGAGAGGAGTTGTTCCTAGCAACATCAAATACATTTTAAATTCCCAATTATATGTCATCTTGGACTTAATCTTTAATGCTTTATATCTTTCTTTTGATTGGTCTAAACTCACTAAAGGTTCAATTGAGACTTACCGTCATTATATTTGTCAAACTAATCACATCCTGATCATTGTTTCAAGTGATCAAGGTTTTGACAACTACCCCTCTCTTTTATAGCTCTGCCATTTTAATTTTTATAAAGTAATAAATGGAATAAAATCATGCAGTACAGCGTGACATAGAGAGTAGTGCTTAACAAACTGACTTTCTGGCTGGCAGATAATATTACCTTGTTCGTTTGCCAACTGATAAAAAACAACCACTAGCATAAAAAAGTGATTTCAAGGAATCGACGTATGAATATATAAAAGATGGATCATGCTTTGAATATAAAATAAGAGGGTCACCTGCTTTGCACTTCTTTAAGAAATTTAGCTTGAAGAAATAATTCTTCCACTGCTTTACAGATATTTTAAAGCCACTAAACATTTTAAAACCACAAGCCATACACAATGTTGAACTCCAGGGAAAGCAAATGATGTGTACAACAAATAAACAGAATATTTACATTTAATATTCATTTAAAAACATGCAAGTAGACACCAGCTAAACTCACAAGCTTGATTTTTGTAGGAAAAGTATTTGTAATGTAACAATTTCAAATACTAGTTTAAGGAACTCATCTTGATACAAAAACACACATTTTGCAATAAATGCATTCATACCTTTTCTCTGCTGCTGCCACGTTTATTGAATCCATTATGTCTTGCACAGTATCTAATATCTGTTTAGCTCTGATAGTGTGCTGTTCAAACTTTGTTTTCACTGCTGACTGCGAGATACACTCCTGCGAGGGGCCCAAGCCATACACATTACTGTAATTCCATCCCAACATTTTTAGGAATTGAAACACAAAAACTTGCTGTTTATAACTTTAACCAAAACAGAAATTAGAATAGAAAATAAATACATGATAAACACAACTTAAAATTACAAAGGTTAAAAAAATTACAAAGATGCAAAAGTAAAACGCACTTTCAAACAGCAAGTTCAAATCTTTGTGTTAACTTTACACAGTAATGTGCAATGGTTTTTACTACATTATTTTTCAAAATAAATAAATAAATAACGGTCAAAAATAAAAATTTTGTGTTAAAAAGGGTTTTTCTTTTATAATTACTATTTTTATTTGTATTGCCTTTAATCTACTTATAGTCTAGATTTTTCTCATACTTGCAATAGGCATCCTAATAAAGTTATTGAGTTATAAATTAGAATTCTACTGTATTAAAAAAATTTAGTTGAATGCTATGATTTACATAAGGTTATTATAAAGGACTTTTGCAGGTGAAAACTTGCACAATTTGAAAAATACTCTTTAATAATAACCTAAGTAATATTTTAAGTTGTATATAGAAAAAATTGCAATTATTTCAAAGATAATCTTCCTATTGTCATTGGTCTACAGTGTGTGCATATAGGTCCCAATGATGCCCTATCTCATTTGTTTTACCTTCAAGCTAAATACAGCTCAAAACCTGTTAATAGTTATACAAATCAGAGTTTCATGACCAGTGTTTATTTAAATAGAAAATATATCAGAATGTATCACATATAGTAATGAATGCTTATTTTGTGAAATTTTAGTTTCAATTTTAATATATGTGCATACTACTTGTTATTTAAAATATTTATAGTGATTCATCATTGAATGTTTGCGAAATCATTAAATTAAAATCAGCCTTTCATGTTTACTTCACAGAACATAACACTTGAAAACAACTTCAAGTATTTACAGAAGAATACTATCTGGACTTGGAACAATCAAGAGATGTTCACCTGCCCTGACCGGGTGGCTCAGTTGGTTGGAGCATCGTCCCATACACTAAAAGCTGGGGGGTTTGATTCCAGGTCAGGGCACATATTTAGGTTGTGAGTTTGATCCACAGTCAGGACATGTGCAGGAGACAACCAATTGATGTTTCTCGCTTTCCCTTCCTCTCTAAGATCAATCAACATATCCTTAGGTAAGGATTAAAAAAAAAGGCATCATCTGGGTCACAACATTAATAACTACAATAGATGTTTTGGAGGCCATGTTTATTTTCTATGATGAATTTTTAAAAATTAGGCATATATCCCAACTTCAATATTTCTTTAAATTCATCTTTTTTAACCTCTTTGTATATGTATAACTAGGACAAAATTGTGATCATTACTTCCTAAAGTTATTACTATCCTTTGTTAAAATAAATAGCTTTCAGGATTTAGCCCTGGCCGGTGTGGCTCAGCTGGTTGGGTATTGTCCCGTGCACCAAAAGGTTGCTAGTTTAATTCCTGGTCAGGGCACATGCCCGAGTTGCGGGCTCGATACCCAGTATGGGATGTGCAGGAGGCAGCTGATCTCTAAAAATCAATTTTTAAAAAAACCTTTCAGGATTAAAAGGGTATCCACTTAATACTCTAGAGTTCTATATACAGGTTGGGGCAAAAGTAGGTATACAGTTGTGAGTACAGAAAACACAGAATTTATTCTTGTATTATTATTTGTTAATTATTATATTATTGTCCATACCAACAACTGTATACCCACTTTTGCCCCACCCTGTATATTATCTTGAAATCAGTATGTTACATATTCATTTAATGTACTATTTATAACCTATGCTTCGCCTTCAGGTCTCTAAAACGGTTATCTGTTCACTTCACTAAGGTAGAAAAGATGTAAAATCTCTTTTGCCTCTTCAGTTGCCCTCTTGAGTATTTGTTTGAGGTACAGAACACAAAACAAAAATCATTTCTTTAGCTGTAAACCCACAAGGGTAATTAATTTAACTAACAGTTCATACAGCTTTAACTCAGAAACGTTACTCTCTTCCATTGCATAGCCTCACTTTTGCTGGTGGTTAAGCTCACTTATACATCACTCCATATCATTAATCCAGAGGATATTGGTGGTAGAAAGTTCCATGCTTCCTGTTTAGCAAGTACATGCCAAAGCAAAAACCACCAAGAACTATACAATATTAAACATTTAAAGTGTAAACTGCTTATTTTTAACAACCAAAACTCATGTTCTACTTTAAATAACTGTCACATAAATTGCCAAATTAACCTCCACAAAAACAATAATAAAAGCATTAAAATATTTTTAAAAGGAAAAATGGTTAAAAGAAACTATGTTCCTCGATGAAGCAGATCTAGATATCAGCAATGAAGATTTCAATTTGTAGATAACAGCACAGTATTAGAGCTAGACTAGACAGGAAAGAAAAGATCTCCAAAAGTTATTAAGCAATATAAAAGTTACTTCTTGATTAAAAAATATACAATGATGAATAAGTATAAGAAGGACATAGGAAATCTTGTAATAAAAAGTATCCCACAATGGTGTTCCCACTGATCAGAAAAATATCAAGAGTCAACCTGCAAAAGAAATACTCTATTTTACTGAATTATTTTACTAATATGTTTTTGAATTTCATGAGAAATATATTTATCAGGAACTCTAATTTTCTAAAAAGTTTAAAATACTACATCAAACCAACTTAAATTCCATCTTGTCAAGATATCATTTACATGTTTTATAACTTATTAAAGATTTAGAACCAAACAATAAGCATATCTCAAGATAGTTTTCTGATTTTCTAAAAACATCTAAATAAGCCTGCTAGTAAGTAATCATACACAGCTACACAGTAAATATTAATATTTCTGTGTAATTAAAACATAAAACAAACTTGTCAAGACCTCCTTGATAACAGACCCCAAACACTCAATAACACATAGTCCTATTTACCACTCTCAACTTATTATTTTGAAATATTTTTAAATGAAAAGAAAGTATAAGAATGAACATCAATATAATATACCTTTCAAATAAATATACAAACTATTAACATTCAACCTCATTTTTTTAGCTTTCCTTCTCTGGCTCTCCACACAGATATATAGTTATGTCTCTATATAGAGATATACATACATACATATACATATACATATATATACACATATACATACATATATATGTGTGTGTGTATTTCTGCTATAACCACACAGACACACAAGTTCCTGAATAATATGACAGTTCACTGCAGCCACCACCTTACTACTAAATATATGAACATGTGTCTCCTACAGATCCATGAAAACAATTATTGTATTCAGAACATTTATTACTGGGACAATACTATTAATCTAACACAAAATTTTACCCGTTATCCCAGGAATGTTCTTTACAAAAAATTCATTGACATTTTACAGAAGAGTTATTTTATATATTTTTCCCACCATACAACCAAAATTATTAAAAAGTTAATGGCCAAATAACTGAGCAAAGATATTTAGATTTCTCAAAGGCTTAGAATATACACCTGTCCAAATACAGGTTGAAAACAGCAAGAAAGACCTAGCAGGTTTGGCTCAATGGATAAAGTGCTGGCCTGTGGACTGAAGGGTCCCAGGTTCAATTCCAGTCAAGGGCACATGCCCCAGTTGTGGGCTCGATTCCCAGTAGGGGACATGCAGGAGGCAGCTAATCAATGGTTCTCTCACCATTGATGTTTCTCTCTCTCTCTCCCTCTCCCTTCCTCTCTAAAATCAATAATATATTTTTTTAAAAAGAAAACATTGTATTAGAATTAATGTTTATTTTCTTGATTTAATCAAGCTTTGTTTAACTTGGTACTCTATGTTTGTTCATTAATATTTGGCTCCTTTAAATCAAATTAATTTCAAAGAAATCCATGACAAAAATCAGACTTTGATAAAAATGATGAATTTGGCAGTTTTTCTTCTCACAAAAATCATAAGACTACAAAAGAAAGGAAAATTTTAAAAATGAAGACAAAATGTGTATAGAGGCTATAGTCTGTGATCACAATGCAAAGAAACTAATAAATTAATAAACAAAAGTTGGATAAAAAGAATAAAAAATCTGAATTTTAACTCCTGTATTAAATAGGATATTCCAAAAACTATTAATGTCAAATAAATAATGAAGACTAAACTGGATACTGAAACCCATGGAGTACGTCCAAAGTTACACTCACAGAGAAATTCATAGCCCCAAATTCTTTCTTAAAGAACAAAAAGCAGAGCACACTTTCCCCGATTAGAGCTGAAACACCAAAGACTGGGAGCAGAACAGCGGAGGAGACCAGCGCAGGCTGGTTCAGACTGTTGTGGAGCTGCCTCACTGCAGAGGGTCCTGGCCTCAGGGACCTGCCCCGGGCAGCCTCACAGCCGCTTTGTAGCACTACCAAGCTGTTCCACAGCAGTGCTGTGTTCACAACCATGCTGTATTACCATTGAGCTGTTTGCCCTAAATAAAGTTTCCTTCTTCAAAAATACAAAAAGCAAAAATAATGCCACTTAAAATGCTTTGGACACAGACAAAATTTTTGGCCCATCTGGTTATTTCTGTAGATAAATTCAAACAATTTCTATCTGATTCTCATTTTAGATCTATAATAGTTTCAACTAAACAAAAGTTTCAAATTCTAAATCCTGACATTCTCCACAAGTTTAGTTTTTTTTGTATATAATTTTTAGATTTCCAAACAAAAAAAAGTAAAGTGCCAATTTCCTCCGACAAATATTAAAAAGAATAGTTCCCAAGTCTGCCTGATTATTGCAATCAGCTGGAAAGCTTTGGATACATACAGATTCCTAGGTCCATCCTAGCTCCACTGGATCAGTTCCTGGAATAGGTCAGGAATCTACAGATCTCTAAAGCACCTCATGTTATTCTCAAGATCAGCCATGTTTGGGAACCAATGCTCTATAATACATCTGTTCTTCTTCTCATCTCCACCTCTTCAAGGAGCTATTTTTGGAGAGCAAAACTGTACCAGAAACCAGTATAAAAGAGGTATAAATGTATATTATTTGGTAGGAGAAATCAATGACAAACAGGGAAGGGAAAAGGATGTAAAGAAGGAAAAAGTTAATAAATAAGGAAAGACAAGGGAAAAATAATAGATCCTCTCCCCATTATTTTTCCTATGGATAAGAGAGTGAGAAGAGCATTAAATTTCTTATGAAAGCAAAGGGAAAGAAAATAGATAGCAATGGTCTTTCAATAACTGAAACTTCATGTATCCTATGGCCTAGTTTGAGAGAATATGTGCTGATGTCCCAGGGGGTCTCTGAACAATTAGAGATCTTACCAAGAAAGCTGGTATTGGGTGTTCTTTCTTTAATACTTTTTCTTCATCTACCTAATCATCTTTCTCCCTCTCACCAAATTAAAGACAGGGGATAGTGAGCAAATATTTAATTCTGCCTACTACATTCAACATTAATGTCCTTATCATTAAGGCAGTTACTGCTTATAAGAAAGAATAATTATAGCAGATCATTCATGGGTGAGAATATGCAATTTAGGCAAAGCTAGATTAAATAGGGCTAAATAAGAGTTTAGATGTCTTTTAGTATCTAAAAAACTATTCAGTCAAATGCAGGATAAGTTTTAATGTCTCTGAATAAAACATCTACACCAAGATATAAAGTATCCTCCCTCCTCAATGTTGCATACACAAGAGCTATTTTTGAGCTTCAGTGATTCCTAACAGATTCCTAAAGTACAGATCTTAATTATTTTTGTATTCATTCATGTGTTCAGGGCATTTGGCATAAAATGTGGAGAATTAACAGGTGACAAGACAGTTTAGAAATATAAGACACTTTCATCACATGGCATCAACTATGTTCTATCTCTCTATAAATACAGTGGTCCAAAGAAAAAAAAGATGACCTTCACTTTGCTCTATTATCCATTCCAACAGCAACTGCATTTGTTTAGTCTTACCCCAAATTAGATACTAAGTTCAATATAAAGAAATTCCCTCAATTCACAACAAAAGAAATATTAGAAAGCAGCTTCTCATTTAAATGTAAATACATAAGAATGTAAAAGAAATTAGAATCTTTAATTCTCAATTCTTACGAATCATCCATTCTGCAGGGACTTGCATTCTTCAAACTTCCCTTGTTTCACTTGCTCTGTAACTCTACTAAATAACAGTAAAATTATCAACAAAGATAAATAGTGAAAATATAATCACTCTCCATTCAATGATAGGGTTTTATATTAGCCAATACATTCACAAATTCCTACCTCAAAGATTCGTTCAAAATTCTGAAACTCCTGTAATCTTGCCTGAAATCCTTCAGCAAGTGCCCCACCTGTAACAGTTAGGTGAAGATTTAAAAACCATATAGTAAGGTAAGATTTCTGGCATGCCATTTTTATAATGGATACTTGTATTTCAAAAGTAAGTCTATAATGAGTACATACCACCTTCTGGCATCCCCTGTGCTTTGTGCATTCTAGCACTAAGAACTTCCTTTGCGGAAACAAAGAAAATACGATTCCTTGCTTCTGAAGGATCCACAACTTTGAGTTCTTCCACCAAAAAATGTAGGCATCTTTCTGTGTGCTGTCTGCGTACCTAGAGCAAAACAGGGTATTAAAAGAATTCTAATAACTAAACAAATATAATTGCAATGGATAGCTACAGACTTAAACTCCATTTAAAGTGATATCATAGTTATAATTCCCATATACTTAACAAATTCTAATTATACTTGTAATAATTAAAGTTTGATACTTGCTGATAGGAAATTTCTGTCTCTTCACTTAAAGTAATGATTCTTCCATTGAACAGTCAATTTAAAATTCTGATGGACCATCCAATACTACATAGTCATTATAAAATATACTGTAGGCCAATATTAGTACTTAATGGAATAGGAAGACATCCCTAATTCTGTATTAAAGATATACATGATTATACAACAACAAAATGAAGTGTATACATATATATGTTTATATTTATGTAAATTAGTAAGCGACATGCAGGCCAACACCTACAAAAATGAGTGGCATTTTTACTTCTTCCTTAGGCTTTTATATTCCACAATGCTGCTAGTAATATCTTTGAAACCAGGAAATAAGAGGTACAATAAATTTGCTACAATGAGTCTATTTTTGTTTTGAAGTCAGAACATATACAATATATTCCTCTTCTTAAAAACACTGGTAATCAAAATTGGGGAGAATGTATTAGCTAGGAATTAAGAGTGCAATGTTAGGTTTAAGATTAACACTTGGGTATTAAAGTTAGGACTCAGGGTTAAAATTAAGGCTTGGTACTAGCCTTTAGCATTATGGCTATGATTAAAAAAATCTCTACTTTAATACTTAATAAAACTAAGCTCATAGAAACTCACACCGGAAACCTATATGTTCATGTTGACCAATGTCAACCCAATAAATTTAATTAAAGAAAAATAAACAAACTACTCAATAAAAAAAAAAAGTAAAAAACTTAAGCTACATAAGAATAGGGATCCTTTATCTATGGGTGATACTTCCTAATTCTCTGACGATTGAGTGAGACCCCAATTTGAAAGAGTCTGATTATAAAACAAGAGTTAATGCCCTGGCCAGTTTGGCTCAGTGGTTGAGCGTCGGTCCACGAGCTGAAGGGTTGAAGATTCGATTTCAGTCAAGGGCACATACCTTGGTTGTGGGCTTGATCACCACGTGCAGGAGGCAACCAATTGATGTGTCTCTCTCACATCGATGTTTCCCTGTCTCTACCCCTCCCTTATACTCTCTCTGATAACCAATGGAAAAAATATCCTGGGGTGAAGATTAACAACAACAAAAAATTTAATACCAGGATATAAAACTTGCCACACTAGCCACTTCTTTTAAAAAAGAAGTTCTAAAATCACCAACATGACTAAAATACCACGTGCTGATGAGGATATAAATCACCTGAAACCCTCAGTCACCTGGTGGGAGCATAAACAGGTATAAGCACTTTCGAAAACTCTTGGGCTATGTTTCCCAGTAGTTCATTTCCCCAGTTGTGACAAAAATGTCTTCAGACATAGCCAAATATTCCCGGAGGTCAAAACTGCCCAACCCCTCACATTGATAACCACTGATACATACCCAAAAGAAATATAAACCTATGAGTTACAAAAAGACATATGTATATAAAAAAGAATATGCACAGTACCATTATCCATAGTAACTAAATACAGGTAATTTATCCATATGCCTATCACTAACAGAACGAATAAATCAAGTGTAGTTAATCACAGGATGAAATATTATACAGTAGTGAGAATGCTTCTTAACTATGCACAACACTGTGACTGCATATCATAATGTTGAAAAGAAACCTGACACACAAAAGTAGATACGGTATGACTATTACATAAATTTGAACAAATGGAAAAATAAGTCTAGGGCAGTGGTTCTCAACCTTCCTCATACTGCGATCCTTTAATACAGTTCCTCATTTGTGGTGACCCCCAACCATAAAATTATTTTCGTTGCTACTTCATAAGTGTAATTTTGCTACTGTTATGAAACAGTATGTAATTATATATGTGGTTTCTGATGGTCTTAGGCGACTCCTGTGAAAGGGTCATTCGAACCCCAAAGGGGTCACGACACACTGGATGGCGACCCACAGGTTGAGAACCGCTGGTCTAGGGTGTTAGAAGTCCAAGGTAATTATCCTTTGGAGGAAGAAGAGAGGGTGAAAGGGAGGGAATACTGGAGTTCTGGGAATGTTCTGTTTCTTGATCTGGATCCTGACAAAGTTGTGCTAAATTTGTAAAATTTAACTGAGCTGGAATATGATTCGTACACTATTCTATTATGTTACACTTCAATAAAAAATTAAAAGAAAAAGGAAGTTTCAAGATCTAAAATGATTACACAGTACTTTTATAACATAATTTTCCTTCCAGGTAGCTTAATAACATCTGTATCAAACACTGACTTCAGATTTCCTATAATTATATTCTTTCAAGTGAGAGAATAGCTGCTTATGATGTGCTCTACTATAGGTATACAGTTCCCTACCATAACAATGTACATAAGTATACTTCAAGTATTAAGAAAAGAACTTACATCTTCCATATATTCTGGCTCTGATGCAGAGGCGTCCCAACGATTATTCAGAATGAAAATGTTAGGCTTCGAAAGTCGCTCATTTACCTTGTGAAAAAACTGTTTTTCCTAAAAAACATCAAATGGCCAATAGTATGTTCACTTTTAAAAAGTATTTTTATATTTGTATTTATAATTAAGACTTTCCTGTAATCTAAAATTTGGAACCATTTAGACAACAGTGATTAACAGCCATTGATAAAGGATCCCAAAACACTATAAGCATTAAGCTTTTCAAAGATAAGGAAACTAAAACATAAGAAAGGGAAAAGCGAAGGTTTTCCTGATCCCGCCATTAGTCTTTTGAAATTCAATTAAACAAATACTTAAAAGGTATTGCTTGATGCGAAAATTTTGTCCAAATTTTCAAAAAGCTACAGCAAATCTTTTTTTAAGATTAAGACCTGTTTACAACACATCATAATAAACAACAGAGAAAGGTATGTGCCCAAAATACTATAAATAAATGCTGGTACTATTCAAAGGAAGGAGACACCTGTCTAGTTGAAATTATGAAAAGCTCCATAAAAAAGGAAAAGGTAATAAAGGTGGGCTTGAAAGTACTGCTAACAGGGCTTTTTGAAATGACGTTGGAACGGGGGAAGAATATGGGGAAGGAACAGTATAAATGAAGGCATCAAAGTCAGAAGGCATATCAAAGTTTGTTTATCCACCACCCCAATAATGGAATTATTCTAACAGATTTTAAAGATTTATCATTTTTTTATACCATCAGTGTATGGACGACTGTCAGTGTTGTCACCACAGCCTGGTCTATGTGACATAGATTAGGCTATTGGCCACTCAACCACTAATAACACTGCGACAAAACAAAGATCTTGCTGGAGGGGGTGGTGGTGGTGGTGGTGGTGGTGTATGGTGTAAGTCAGTATCCTGTTGGTGCCCATGACTTCTGAAATAGGCAAATAACCACAGTAAAGGTCAACAACACACAAAGATTCAGTAGAAGCTAGTGCCATCAAACCCTGGGAACACTCAAGACCAAAATAAGCCCTTTAGTCCCATGGAGACATAAACCCCTTCGTTCACCTTTGATTTAGAAGTTCCTTCTAATCCAAGATTTGGATTTCCCTCACTTTTCAGAATTAAAACAGACACCATTTCATTTCCTTCCACTAATTGTATATGATTAAATCCTACCGTGTTCATTAATGTTGATTCAGAGTTGGCAACCAAAACAAAGACATCAGCATCTAAGCAAAACTTATCAATCCAGCTATCCAGCTCTGTAGTGACATCTGTACCTGGACTAATGGAAATAAAATAAAAAATTATATAACATTTCTTAAAGACAATTTTTGTAACTTTTATAAATAGTTTAAAGTCTAAAGGACAGAATTTCTATCAGTCATCAGTAACAAACCCAGGAGATTTACATTATTTTTTTCACCTAGAAGAAAGCACTTGTGGCAAGGTGAGAGCCTGTGCTATAAGTAATTCTCCATATTTATTCTGCTGACAAGGAACTTCCAGAGCCTGTCCAATTGAGAACAAATGCTTAAAAAAAAAAAGAGCCACCCAGCAAGGGCAATAGTTTAATCTCTTAAATGTTTATGCTTTGGAAGGCTAAAAAATAAGTACTAAAAACAAACAAGGCTAATGTATAATAAAAAATGAAGGTGCTGCCCTAGCAAGTTTGGCTCAGTGGACAGAGCATCGACCTGCGGACCAAAGGGTCCAGGGTTCGATTCCAGTTAAGGGCACATGCCCAAGTTGAAGGCTCATACAGGAGGCAGATGATCAATGATTCTCATTATTGATGTTTCAATCTCTCTCTCCTTCCCTCCCTCTCTGAAGTCAATAAAAATGTTAACACGTTAAGCACCCAGTCAGTCACCGGTGACTGACACTATACTTTCTGTCCGGAAGACAGAACAGGTTGGCTGCTTAATGTGTTAAAAAACAATCATTAATGTTTCTATTTTTCCCTCTCACTTCCTCTCTGAAATCAATAAAAATATTAAAAAAAGAAAAGAAGAAATTAAAAAATAAGGTTCTAGCAACTACATTCAGTACAGCTCACCAAAGACTAGGTGCTTATAAGCATAAATAATAAAAAAATAAAACACCCTCTACTAGACATAAATATAGTGTACAATTTATACTATAAAATTTATAGTGCAGCTATCCCTCAAGTTGGCTTAATGTGTCCTGAGACAAGTTGGTGAGTTGATAGGTAAGTGTCATGGATACATTCTGGCTATGAAATAAAAGCAAAGTTAACTAGCTAATATTACTCTATTTAAACCAAATATTTTTATTTCACAAGCATCTTCTCTCTCATCTGAGCTATTTCTATTAATTGGAAAACTCTGCCAAAAGGAATGCCTGTCCTCAAGAAACAAAATGGGTTCCACAGAACACTGAAATTTTAACTGAAGAAACCAAAAGAACACATAAAAAATAATTTAAGTACCTTTTTTGGTAAATGACATTGCTTAACAGACATGAATTATCATTTATTAAGCATTAGTGTAGTAAGGTGATTTAAAAACATATATAAATGCAAATTAATGAGAAGAGTTGGAAAAAAATTCCAAAAGTACTTGATTAATTCTTGACCAATGAAAAGCTACATAAATTGTCCAGTGAAGTTATTTTGGGAAACTTGATCTCAAGGATAAATTAATTACTAGTTTTAAAAATTAACTATTTAGAATTCTCTACCTAGGTATCTAGATTTACACAAACTATGAAGTCAATCTAGAGAAACAAAGAAATAAGACAAAAGTAACTATCCTTGAAATTTTTTATAATAGATATACTGATAAATTGGCACTTTTATGATATGATTAAGATACAAAAACAAACACCTTATTTGTTCTTTAACAGTCTAGAAAATAAGAACAAAGCAGCAATTGAACATTTTAAATCTTTATGTATTACATGCTTAAGCAAGCAGCATTATTTTATAAATACACCTTTACATAAAGAAAATGCAATTCATATGTAATTTTACCTGTCTACTAAAACCAGGTCATCTCTCAAGAGGGCACATTTTGCCTTTGGCCAAAACACATGCACGAGAGAGCCAGCTTTTAAGTCTTTATCCATATGCAGGGCATGGGCCAGCTGATTAACTGTCTAAAGTGGGAGGGAAAGCAAAAGCAAAACATTTACTTGTAATAAAAAAGAAAAATAGTATAATTTGGCATAACATTTATTTTTGTAAATATGCTAAGAATCAGAATTTTAAATAATTTGAAATAAAACCATTTGAGAATCTTGAAAAACCCAAGTTTTAGAATTACCAAATAGAAAAAAAAAAGTGATACCCTTAAAACAGTTTATTCATACCATTCTGCAAAAATAATCAGGGCTGTAAACATTCTAAATGCCCCCCAAAATAGAACTTGGTAGTGGAATCCTATGCAGTCCCAGAAATTGATATTACATGTAGGAAAATAAATGTATATCAAGGGGGAAAAAGCAAATCAGGAAATAGCACATGATAGAAAGCCATTCTGCTTTAAAAATACAGAGAAACACAAATTTAACTCTACACCAAAGGGCTTCCATTGGTTTTTGGGAAATGTGTGAGTTTTGTTTGGAGTTTTTCTGTTTGTTTATTTATGTACTTTCTGACTCTTCTAAAATGAATGTGTATTGCATAGAAATAACAAGGAATAGAAGAAATGTCATTAAGGAAGGGCATCAGCTCTTATACCTCTGTGGTTCATTTGTGATCTATATCAAATTGTAAAGAGGAACATCTGTTTTCAAATGGGCACAACAGTCCTGATCAGGAATGAAGTAAATCTCCATCATAACACTATTAGGTAGGTTGTGTTGTTTTGTTGCTTTCCTAAACTTTTTGATAGAATTATAAACTTGTACTAAAATCTTGATGTCTCACTTATAAAATTAAAATAAAAGCATCTATTTACAAAACTGTGGTGAGGTTTGAGTTATTACAAGTACTTTGAACAGTTCCTGGGACATAGCAAGTGTACAATGCAGTACTAGCTATTACTGTTGCATTTCTTTTACTAAGTTAACTATTCAAACATGAGCACAAGACTCAGAGTCTATCTATACCTTAAAGCAGGCCACTACTTGAGGTAAACAAATTCAAATTTTGGAGTAAGGGAGAGGAGTAAAAGAACACAAAGGAAGAGGACTGGAAATAGAGAGCGCAGATCAGGAAAAAGAAATGATTACTTTAAAATATCACAGCATACCTGTCTTGAGGATCTAAAGCCACAGGCAATTTGAATTCTAATTTGCTAAAAATCTTGATTTCACAATAAATTATTCCTTCATTTGTATAGGTTAAAAGTTTAAAGAAATCGTTTCATGAACTTTATCTCATTCCTCAGAACTACTCTGAAGGGTATTACACAGACTGAGTTATCTAATAAAGATCAAACAGCAAACACCAGACCCATGAATTCACCTACAATTTACCAAAAACTAAAATGGTATAGATCTTCAAACACTGAACTTCTGTATTTGTGGGACAGAAACTGAGACTTAGCCCAACTGGAGTGGCAGAGTGGTTGAATGTTGACCTATAAACCAGGAGGTCAAGGTTCGATTCCCGGTCAGGGGACATGCCTGGGTTGCAGGCTCAATATCCAGTGTGGGGCATGCAGGAGGCAGCTGATCAATGATTCTCTCTGTTTCTATCACTCTGCCCCTCTCCCTTCCTCTCTGAAATCAATAAAAATTTATTTAAAAACAAAAGACTTAAGAAAAAGTGACTGTAGTGAGAAACAATGCCTTTAACCAGTAGTTCTCATTCCAGTCAATTCTTATATCCAACTTATTTATTGTTTTTAGCTGAAGGAACCTAGTGGTACTGAATCCATTAGGAAATTTATGAAAGGAAATTTTCTTTAAAAAGACTTCAACTTTTTATTGGGACATTATTTTAAAAACTTAGTAAGCTTTTTCTTAAAAAAACAAAACAAAAAAAACAGAAACAGAAACAAAAACAAAAACCCCCACCTGAGGACATGCTTAGAGAGAGGAAGGGAGAGAGAAGGAATGGGAGAAAGACAGAAAAATCAATTGATTGTCTTATGTAGGTCCATATATGCCCCGGAGAGATCGAACCCACAACCCAGGTATGTGGTCTGACTGGAAATTGAATCGGCAACCTTTGGGTGCACAGGAGGCCACTCAACCAACTAAGCCACTTCGGTCAGGCATTAATAAGCTTTTACCTTTTATTAACTTACATTTTAAGTTAAGGTAGGGTTTCTTATCCCAGTAATTTAACTCTGAAGCAAAAGAATTTTAGAGAATTTAAAATATTACTGATGGTTTTAAAACCCATGAACAGACATTAATGGTTCTTCCACCTCCAGCAATGCAGACATCTTATAATTCTTTTTTAAAGAACTAGGGCATGGTTTAAAATACATTATATTGCTAAGGTCAAATGTAATACCTTCACACTCTTTTTTTCATCTGATCCTTCTGTCATAAGATAGGCTCTATCTCCATCGGTTCCTTCAACACTCAGTAAGCAATTGGTTGTATGGCCAATCCCACTGGGGAGGACTTTATCCCACAACATTGCATTGATAACAGAGCTCTTCCCACTGCTTGTCCTGAAGAATGAATATACAAAATCATGAAAAACAAAACATAACAATAAAAACTTTGTTCTTTTACTGGGTCTAAGACTGACTTTTCTGGAATTCAAATTTAGTTAAAGTTTCATCAGATGGCATTTTTCATAAGAGTTGATAATTTATACAAATATTAGCAATGTACATTTCAGAAAGATAAAGTAGAGGAAAACAAATCCTACCTTTCCCATAAAGCTATCCTGGCCTTCTCCTTCTTGCTTCTTGGGGCAATTTGTAATTACAGCCCCAAATTCTATGACACTACCCAGCCCAAAACGTGGTCTAATGTCCCATGTCCTTAAATCCACAGTGAACACCTATTTCTCCTTCTCAAGTAGGACAACTGAGGCGTCAACCTCTAGGATAATGGTCGCCAACTGGTGGTTCACGAGGTCTGAAAGGTTGGCAACCGCTGCTCTAGGAGGTCATTTCCTTCCCACTCTTACTCCATCTTAACCTGAGGTAGGGCCTCTTTAATAGATCTACCTCATCCTTGACTCTCAAAGACCTTGAGAATATATGATTAAGTGGGAGAAGCAGACAATAAAAACATAAAACAAAAATAACAGAGCGCTGTAACACTGTTTTAAAGGACATAAACAGGGTGATTTAATAGAGAATAACCGAAAAGGAATATTTAACAGTGAAAAGGAAAGGTTTCTAAGTAGTAACATTGAGGATGAGATCTGAAGAGAAAGAAGGAGCCAGACATACACAGAACAACACAAAGAGAATTCTATGAATAGGAAATTGCAAGTGCTAAAGCCCTAAGATGGGAAATAGCTTAGAAGACATGAGGTGTAGTGAGTACATAAATGGCTCTATTGGTACATAGGACATATTTGAGTCACCAAGTATGAGCTAGTCATTTGTCTTTGCATCCTGGTGCCCAACAGAGTGCATGGTACTTAGGTAGTTAACAAATGATCCTTAAATGAATGCAGAAGCTGCGGCAGAGATCACTCTATCACTCCAGTGGGTTACATTAAGAACTGGCACTTTCACCCTAGCCGGTTTGGCTCAGTGGATAGTGTTGGCCTGTGGACCAAAGGGTCCCAGGTTCGATTCCGGTCAAGGGCACGTATCATGGTTGCAGGCTCCTCCTCAGCCTGTGCCCTGGTTGGGGCTCGTGAAGGAGGCAACCAGTCAATGTTTCTCTGTCTTTCCCTCTCTCTTCTACTCTCCCTAAAAATCAATGGAAAAATATCCTCGAGGATTAACAACAAAAAAAGCTTCATTAATTCTCTGCATAATACCTTGTATCAAAATTATTCTTAAAAACAAAAATAAAAAACTGCCTACTTCCTACTCTGGGAATCATTGGGGCTGAGAATCCTTTCAGAAGACATACCTGATAATCAATAGCTTAAAAGAGTAAGTCACAATTATATATAACATTATCTGCACTTCAATTCTTTTTTAAACATGTTTTTATTGATTTTAGAGGAGGGGAGAGGAAGAGGTAGAAACTTCAATGAGAGAGAAACATCAACATAGGTTGGCTGCCTCCTGCACAACCCCTGCTGGGGATTGAACCCGAAACTGAGGCATGTGCCCTGACCGGAAACCCAACCAGCGACCTCTTGATGTATGGTTTGATGCTCAACCACTAAGGCATAGCAAGTGTGCTGTATTTTTATTCCTATAACTGGCCAATTCTTAGATATGAGCATCCTTAAAAAATAAAAATATGATTGACCTCCATAGCTTCATTTTATATCATGAACTAAAATAAATTATCTTACATGCTAACAGATTTACCATTACACAGCCAGAAACTGTTGTGGCAGAAGGGGGAGAAATACCACTTGCTGGAACATCAGAAACAAAGCTGAGCCTATTAGGGAAAAAAAGCTGATTTCTGGAAACTACTCTTGAGAAGAAATAATAAATGATTACCTGCCAAAAAAGGCCACTTTCATGTGTCTCCGAGACAGCACTTCGCCAATGATGGAAAGCTTGTTTTTATACCCCCGTATTTCTATTAGGTCATCTTCAGTAGCTATTCGATCAAGTTCTGAATTCCTGTACGTTGCTGCAAAATTGCAATGGTATTAGAAAAAGTGATACAAATGAATATTAAGAATTACATAATGTAATACCTAAGATATGCATGTATTTTGGCTCTGTTCTATATTAACATGCCGTTTGAAAAGTAAAAATGCCTATATCTGAATATTTGGTAAAAGATAAATGCCTTCTTGCAATGGTTCATAAGAATCCTGCCCAAAAGAATGTCAAAATTATTAAGACTTACAAGGGCCCAATCAAAAGGGTATGTTTGTTATTCATCTAGGTCTCAAAAATACAAAACAGCCAACTATGACAAAAATGTATTTCTGAACAGAGAAACTAGAATATACACTTATCATTGTCCCATCCTGACTGAATCTTCAAATCTTGAGCTGAGAAGAGGGATACACATGTTAAGAGTAAAGTTTGAAACAAAGACATGGTTCAAGATCTCCAAGCTAGGTAAGACTTTGCTACCTTATCACTTCTTATCTGCTACCTACAGGGATGACAAAAACAACTCATTTCACATGAAAGAGAACTGTAAACTGAATCCCACCCCAGCCCCAACCTCATTTCCCCAAGGATAAGCCTGGGTTTGAAAAGTAGAAAAGCTCTTCAGTTTTGTTTTTATAGGATTATACATGCTTACAGTTATATTTTTATATTTCAATTTTGCAGGCAAAAACATGGGAGATTCATTTGGCTAACTGGAGACAAACTGTTAGGGGGCAGAAATAGAATACGGGGACTAGCTAAGAAATAAAATAAGAAATATTAATCATACTGTTAACCCTGACTGTTTTGTTCTGATTAAAGAAAGCACATTCTAACCTGACTGGGAGTTGTATGCCTCCGGGACCTAAGAGTCAACCTTGAATTGTGGTCCATCCTCATTCAAGAACTGCTTAATATCAAGGAAAGATTACAACCTTATTGTCCAAACAATGGAGTCCCACCCCAGCCCACCTTGCCTACTTCCCTATGCCTATGATTCCTGCTTCCCCATGTAATCTTTGTCCTACCCAATATAAGCAGCTGTCTTATGGGGGCTGCAGAGCAGATTTTTGTGGATGACCTGTTGCTCTCCCATACCACCGGCATAAACATATGTAATTACATATGTAATTCAATCTTGTCTCTGCTTAATTGGCTCAAGTAGTGACAGGCAGCTGGACCCACTGGTTCTCCGATTACAAAACAATGATAGAGCTTACCGAAGCGGTTCTCAATCTGTGGGTCTCGACCCCTTTGGCGGATGAACGACCCTTTCACAGGGGTCGCCTAAATATCTGCATATCAGATATTTACATTATGATTCATAACCGTAGCAACGAAAATAATTTTATGGTTGGGTCACAACATGAGGAACTGTATTGAAAGGGCCAGAAGGTTGAGAACCACTGGCTTACCCAGTACTCATCTAATTCAACTTAAGCCTTACATATCTCATCATACTTTTCAAGTACAATAATAAAATACGTGGGATCTGGTGAATAAAGTTAAGTGAATGAATAAGTACAATTATATTCACCTGTTTTTCATTTTATTCTTGTTCTTTTATGTTCTTCCCGATTTATTTGCTTTGTCTCTTTTCATAACATTTTTTTTCCCCTGAGGTTCTAAAACCAGTAAAATCGAATTCAGATTTTTAAAGCTGCTATTCACTAGCTCTGAGCATGACACTCAATCTATAACTAGCTCATTACACAAAATATATTTAATTTTATCTTCACTTCCTATCAACTGTTTTAGAATAAAATACAATTCAAAGTCACTGTTCCAGTTCAAATTTTTCCCAAACTATAAATATAAATGTTCTACACCAGTACTTCTTTTTTCTCACTCCAACAAAATTGGAATTGTGTTAAGGGTTGGTGACAGAGACACCATAGTGAGGCATGATCCCTACCCTCAAGGAGCTCAAAATCTGGTGAGGGAGGGTAAGGAGGGAAAAGCAAAGTTTGATTCTACTAATCTATTGAATGTGTCCCAATTGTCACTGGAGAGGTTTCCGGAATCCCTCCCTTTTCATTGTACCCTTGAAGGTCATGTAATCTTAAGAACCAGAAAAGTTTTAACAGTTATCTCCAAGGCAGTAATGCCTAGCAAGCCACTCCTATCCCCCTTGTTTGAACAGTTACATTCATTTTAGGAAGACTTTTTTGGTTCTTTCCCACAGCATCCCAGCCTCATTTGAGAGGATAAAATTAGCCTGAGATCTTAGCTTAACTACTGAGCTGGGGAGAAGATAAATATAATGGCTAACTGTGGGCTGCCTACTTTGTAGTCTGGGCATTTACTAGCTTTGTGGAGAGAGTAAGGAGAAAGAGACAAACACTGATGTGAGAGAAAAACATTAATAGGCTGCCTCCTGTATGTGCCCTGACTAGGGATTGAACCCAAAATCTAGGCATGTGCCCTGACCGGGAATCGACCCCGCAACCAGCTGGTGGACAGGAGGACACTGTAACCAACTGACCCACCTGGCCAGGGCGTCTTGGGCTTTTTTATCTGTAAAATGAGTGTGATTAAAATTGTGCCTCAATGTTGATATGAGGATTAAATAAGCTATTAGTGTTACTAATTTGAGTTAATTATAATTAAAATGTATTTTGTATAATAAATATGAGTTATTAAGTTTTTAATGTGTTGTTAATATAATAAAGTGCTAGGATAGCACCTCACCTACAAGCACTTATTTCTTAGTTGTTACTAATTCCATTTTTATCTTCCTCCTCTCGAGGGCAAAAATGGGTTTTATTTGTTACGGTATCTCTCATGGCATACACCACAGTGCCCCTCTATTCGTGCTCAGTAACTAAGGCTGAAAGAATAATGCGCCGCAGCCTATTTTCAATAGTGCTTACTTGAAACACTTAAGAGACACTAACCTTCAATAAAATGTGAGCCTTGAGTAAGAAATTCCAGTAACTGGTCAAAAATTGCAGTAATTGCCTTCTTAGCCAGCACAAAGCGTTTCAGGGGAGAAGCAGCTTCTGCCATTATGCCACTGGGAGGGAGAAAATAACAAGTCAGAAGGGCCTTGGGTCGCAAACACCTGCAAATCAGCGACACTTCCCAGCGACACTGATGGACTTACCCGAGGAAAGGAAACCTCCTGCCGAGGCTGTTTGCACACCTCGGCGAGCAGGGTTCCAGTCGGACAACCCGAGACGCTTTTGGGGTGGTATGCCACTAAAACAAGTGAAAATCTTGGCTGCAGTGTCTACTTTATTTCCCTTTGGTGAAGGTGAAGCGAACTGAGGCTAAACTGCGACTACATGCGACTCAAGTGCATTGGCAACAGGGTTCGCGGGAAGCCGAGTTCACAAAGGGTACGGGATTAAGTTCCTCGGCCTGGCGCTCCAGGTGGGTGGAGGTGGCTATGCAGGGTGAAGAAATAAAATTCCAAGGCCATACTTGCACACTGACGTTAGAGAGACGCAGTTCGCACAACGAGGAAGAAGGGCAAGGCTGACAGCGAGCAGTGACGTTTCCAGCCCCAGCACCAAGAACTTCAAGGAGTAGAAGTTCAAAGGGGAAACATGTCCCCTGACAGCCTCTCAAGAAAAAGGGCACTAACCCAGAGGTTCTCAACCTGTGCGTCGCGACCCCTTTGGCGGTCGAACGACCCTTTCACAGGGGTCGCCTAAGACCATCCTGCATATCAGATATTTACATGACGATTCATAACAGTAGCAACATTACAGTTATGAAGGAGCAACGAAAATAATTTTATGGTTGGGTCACAACATGAGGGACTGTATTTAAAGGGCCAGAAGGTTGAGAACCACTGCTGTGGTTGGTGTACGATCAGTTGGTCCCAAGATTGCTCAGGTGTTTGTGGCCCATGTAGTGTTGCTACTGCATACACACACACACACACACACACACACACACACACACAAGGACCCCGGCCGGAGGCCAAGGCGGATGACACTCACACTGTCCCGGCTCCCCCTCGTCACCGGCCACGGC